ACGTTCTGCCTGCCACCGGTATTCTCATTTTAATTACTTAAAAATGTTTTTTTGTCACTTTTGTTATAAGAACGCAAAGTGATAAGAAAACGAGATTTTGATGAATTTTTAAGTAAATTGAGACGTTTCTACCGATTGCTCAATCATGTTATTATGGACACCACATCAAATCGCCCGATGCACAGTGCGTCTCACTTGCTGTGCCCCAAAATCAACGAATATAACAAGCATTGCCAATTTTTATAGCAGGAGGAACAAAGAACACTCCCACAGCCCTTTGAAAGAAATTGGAAATTAACATCGACGATATGACAACTGTTTGACCTTTCTAGTGCATCTGAGAGCCGAAAAGATCCGTTGTAATTAATTGGAAAAGGTCGGTCACGGAGATTTAAAATATTGAGATGACTTGATAATTTAGGCCGGACCACTCACCATCCGCAAGGATCCGTCTATCACTCGCCGAAAAAAAAAATGACAGCAGAGAGATCTGCCGGATTAAACTGACAGTTGTTCAAAAATAATGTTGGGTTTCGTGATCCTATATCAAGAACTTCATCACAGCAGGAAAGTGAGCTTCGAATGTGCACATCAAAGATTTTATCTTGGTGAATAATACTTTCAACTTCGATTGTTTCGAAACACAATGTAATTCATGAAGTCAGTTACCGGTTGTTTGTGACTCAGTCTAGATTTGTGGCAGAGACTGAGGAACATTATTTTATTTCGAACGAAGAGTCTTCACGAGAAATATTTTACGTGTAAATGTCGAATCAGCAAAAAATATCGTACAGACAGTCCCTGTCTTCAATCTCAATGATGAGATAAGTTTAGGATCGCCTCATAGTGATCAAGGAAGAATGCTCAAATATTTTCGCTGGGAAAGATTATCGGCAATTACATAAAGTTACTGTTTTCCTGAGCTCCAAGTGCGTTTCCCTAAAACGCAAGATTTTCCACCTCCTCTTAATGCAGAAAATCTAGGAGTAATCAATTTTCGAACTCAAATTCAATCCTGTGACGTTCCGAATTCCTACATTATATTTTTAAGTCGGTCTGTTGCACATAAGAAATACAGGGTGAGTAAAATTTCAAGTGTGATTATTACAGACGAAAATCACGTCGAGAGTTAGGCAGATTAGTGAAGTCTTAATTCCACTCTTTAATACACGATTTATGTTCCTTTTGTCATGCACTCACTTTACCGGGCCCGCACACTTTTTTTTTTTTAGGCATCGGCAATAAAGTTTACTAAAAAGAGACATAAGAAAACCTAACTTAAATAAACAAACAATGTCGCAAACTATAGTACACTTTTCTCACGTAAAATTTCAATAGTATTGAGGCATTTGTCTTCACAACAAAGGAAGAAAATGAGAATATAAATACTTGTAAACGATTGAAATCATACGCGAGAAAAAGTTAGAGAGAAGTTGAAATCAAAAGGAAATCCGCTCAAATTAAGAGGCTTGGATCTTGATTTAAGCTTAAATCTGATTGAATCAAGAGTATTTTTTCTTGTCGATGTTTTTAAGAGTCTGGACTCTAGATCCAATGTGTTTTTTTTTTTTCCGGTGTATTCATTTTTCGTAAAGAAAGTCCGAGGTAGATAGGGTTCGATTGGAAAGGGGTCTAGATGGCTGGCCTCTGCAAATGCCGCTCTAGATCTTCCATCAGGAGTCGGGAACCGGGATATGACATGTTGGCCCCCCGCAAATTACAAACCGAGCAACAGGTTAATCAGACTGACATCACTCTCCATTGATTACCTCTTAAGAGAGACTGTCGTCGACTAAGCTGAATCTCCTTCCTCAATGAATGAGCTATTAAGCATTTAATTACTCCTCGCAGGTTAACCCTCCAGAAGTTCGCATCAAACAATCGGAGTATTGACGCATGCACGGTGATCCAAAAGTCCTCCCTGCAGTAGCCCCAAGGGTTCTTGCCCCCTTTTTTTGAGTAATACGCTTAGAATGTTGAGGGCGGGGGTCCCAAAAGTCGTTTCCTTCGATTTAAGAGCACCCACAAAATTTGAAGTCTCTATCTCAATTTGATCAAATACTGAAAAAAAAAACCACATTGGATCTAGAGTTCAGACTCTTGAAAATATTGACAAGAAAAAATACTCTTGATTCAATCAGATTTTTGCTTAAATCAAAAGGAAATCCTCTAAAATTAAGAGGCTTGGTTCTTGATTTAAGCAAAAATCCGATTGAATCAAGAGTATTTTTTCTTGTCGATGTTTTTATGAGTCTGGACTCCAGATCCAATGTGTTTTTATTCCAGTGAAGGGTACAAAGATGGTGTTTATTTTTAGCACTGTATTTATCTCTACTTCAGCTCTTCACAACGTTATGCAAGCAGCTTTTAAATCACTTATTTTTATACCTAGAAGAACGCTGATTTCAATATAATACAGGCAAGACCTACGAAAAATGTCTGGAACCAGAACGTGCCACGTGCCACAAGCTGGTGGTGCGGGACTATTGGATCACCCTGTAGAGAGAAAGAAAATTCAAATTTTTGTAATTTCGAAGTGGCGGGGACCTGAATTGATCCTGATTGTGAGACTTTCAATTTTAAAGACTACTCAAAACAAAATTGATACATTTTCGGGGAAAGTACCTTTCAGAGAGCGTTCATAAATTATTTACGTATTGCACTTTTTCGGCATTTTGTATTCCCCCTTCCCTTTGTACGGTTTCGTTACTCAACCCTGGACTCTCCTTAATTATTACGTAACGCTTGACGTACTTTCTATCTTAAGATCCCTAAAATTGCGGGGAACTGATGAAAATATATTGCTGAGTAGAATTTAGTTTTCGCGCAAACCGGCGACCAGCCACGATCGCCCGCCTGGTGACCAGCGAAAAATCGCACGAATTTCCAAGATTTTGTGATTTTTACCAATAGAGAAGGTTGCATAACACTGGCCCTGAACCACCTTTATTCTCTTTGTAACGCAGTGTAATGCAGGCTCATACTCCTCCCCCTTGCGCTTTTCATCGGAATCAACCAAAGAACGAAAAGCGATCTCCCATTGGGAGAACATCTTACATTGCTGGACATTTCGGTTGGCTCAGAAAGTCGGGTCGTTTTTCTCCCTTTATATAATGGGTACAAAAATAAATGCGCAATGAATCGATGCTTTCAGAGGATTTTCGCCTTTATTCATTTTTGAACGGGTGTCAATAAAGTTTATCCGATATTTGTCCACGCATTGGAATTTTTAAAAGCTCATTTCACATGTAAGTTGATATGACACATGTAAGCGGGAAAAAAGGATGGAAAAACTTAAACGTGGGGCTGAATACGTGCTCAGACAAGGGATATAACATTAGCTTTCCGTTATCCGCGGGGACTTGAAAAGTGGTTAGTTGCCCTTTAAGAATCAAGAGAACCGTATTTTTTTTGTGCCTTGATGCCAGGATAAAATTCTTCTAAGTGTGTGAGATTAAATTCTTTTATTTAGGGCGATTATCCACAAAAAAGGCGGGAGCGGGAGTGAGAAAAGGCGGAAAAGGTAGGGTTCAGTTGGGTGCGGACGGGGGAGTGGGGTAAACCGAGGTTGATGTGATTAGTGTCACAGACAGTGCCCCCTGATTGCCGGACTGACGTAGAATACCCCAAAAGCTCATTTGCTACGTGAGTTAGGCATCCAAAAGACTCTAATTTATGGAGGAAGCCCTGTCTACGGGGTTTGCTTCCTAAATGTCTGCCTCTCTTCAAAGCTGTTCTTGCCTAATCATCAAAATAAAGGTAGATACCGCCCTCTGCCAGTTAGTGCAATATCAACTGAGATCAAAGCGGGATTCTCCTTCATTTGAAAGAGTGGGAAAAAATATACCCTACGTGCGGAAAAATTATCATCGTTAGAGACCCATTTCCAAATTTTATGCTGTTACAAGGCTTCAGATTGGAGTCTTATGATGCACACTTCAATCATTTCATTGCTAGACTAAACAAAAACAATGTAAATATGTGCAAAGAATAATATAATGGAACATCGTATGCCTAAAAAAAGTTTACAAAATCTTTTTATAACGTATTACGCTTATCTTTTGCGAAGCATGCGTGGGTCAATGAAACCTTAGTGGTGTACACAAATTTTACCGCTTTTTGGTGAAACTTAAAGCTCTGCCCATGAATTTTCTAATGGAAAATTACTTTGGCTTCACTCTTCGTTTCAGACCTTTGAATGTTTTGACGCAGTATTCCATTATCTTCCTGTAAAATAAGGCGTTTTACATATTGTTCATTTTCCTTATCCCTTTTCCGACATTTTTTTCATGTTTTCCGCACTCAAAACATAATCATATGTGCATAAGTTTGAAATTCAAGGGCGAGTTTAACGCCATCTAACGCGTGATGGGAGAAAGTCCGACTACTGGCTAAAAAAAGACCGTTCTCGCCTTTTCCGTCCCCGATTTCCTAAGGTAGGATATATAGGGACAGTTACATCCTTAACCATCTTACCCATACGTGCAAAATGAAACATAAAATGACATTTAATGCGAGATTTCTTCTTCTAGCCAAGTTTCAACCACTATCGATACCTCTCAGAGAGATAATACCTAAAGATTCGAGCTCATGTAGTAGTGAATTGTGAATTTGTGATTTGTGTATATTGAGAATTTTTACACAGGCTCTTATGGAAATTTTTGGAAAAATGAATTTTGGTTTAAAAAACTGAATTTTTTGCGTCTGGTGCTTGTGGATTTGAGCTTATCCAATATCCAGCACTTTACCTGAAGTTTCGTGAAACTTGATGACATTTTGCGTCGCTGATCTTACTCCAATTAATTGATCTACATGTTGCAATCAGAAACTACAATTTCTAGTTCAGTTAGAAACAACGTATGTTCCATCAGTTTCCTTATGCACATAAATGTTTTTACGGATGGGCCAGAGATTGTAGTTCCGAATGCAAAGCGCAGTCAATTACTCATTCTTTGCATTTTGCACATTTTGCAATTACTCATAGTTGAAAGTGAACTCACCTGAAAAGCGGCGTAGCTGTATCCACCGGGGCAAGTGACGGGGTTGTACGTGAGGAAGATGCACGTGGTGTGCTCGGTTTCGTTGTGCTCGTAGCGGACCTCGCCGTGGCGCGAGATGACCGGGATCGTCGAGACGAGGATGACCGCCCAGAGGATGAGGATCGCCCGGGAGGCGTTGCGCTCGGTGCGCACCGACATGGACGCGATCGGGTGGACGACGGCCAGGAACCTGTCCAGCGACATCAGCACCAGCGTGTAGACGCTCGCGAAGGCGGTGACGACGATGAAGTACTGCACCGTCTTGCACCAGGTGTCCCCGAACGGCCAGTAGGGCATGATGTAGTCGACGGCCGTGAACGGGACGCAGAAGACGATGAAGAGGAGGTCGGCGATGGCCAGGTTGATGATGAGCAGGTTCGTCGTCGAGCGCATCTGCTGGTTCGCCGAGACGACGATGATGACGAGGGCGTTGCCGAAGAGGCCCAGGACGATGATGACGCCGAAGAGGAGCGGCACTAGGATCTCGACGATCCTCTCGATCCGGACTTGGATGTCCTCCTCGATGTAGCTCCCGTCGTCGGCCGTGCTGTTCGGCTGGCAGAACATCGTCGTGTCTCCGGCTCCGGAAGCCACCCGCAGGAGGCTCGAGTTCGTGTACCGGACGACGCTGGTCCCCATCACTGCTTCCGACATCGCGCACCTCTTTCAACCCTTCAGGAGTCTCATCTCTCCGACTCGCAGTTGGGCCTGAGTTTCAGGACTCGTTCATTCAAAGTGTTTCCAGTTGAAATATGGTGTGAGGAATAGTATTTCTGCTCACTGGAAGGAGCTTCAAGTCGAATGATATTTTTTAGACCATCTGTTGGATCATGTCGCTGATAGTTTCTTTATTCCTAGCTCACGGGCTTTATCCGCAACGACGATTAGGTAACTCTTAAGTATAGAGCGAGAATGTCAGTTTCCTTTGATATTTATTCACAAAATAGCTTCACTGATTATTTCAAACTTCTTTGGTAAATTTAGAATGCGTTTCCTGCTGATTTTTAGAGCGTAAGGGATCTTGTTCTTATTTGTCCTGTAAATGTATGCTTGGGATGGTGTTTAATCATCTGATCATCACTAGATTTAGTCTAAATAATTCAATTCGAATTTTACGAATATCATTCGGTCATTTTTATTGCTGACTCAGAATCTAAAGTTCGACGTATTAGATGTTGTCCGCTGGTATTCTTAACTTTCGATGCAAAATGGTTTAAATTTTGCACGATTCGATTGATAAATTGTGACCCTGAAACTTTCAGATCTGGTTTTATATCGTAGCAATCATCTTTGAGTATTAGTCCGTTTGCCGGGACTAGAATTTTCAACTAAAGATGTAGAGAGTCCCGCAAGATGGCGTGAAATCGATGATACCTCCATAATTTTACCGAAGTGAACTTATATTCAGTGATTATTGATCATTCAATTTGATTTATTCAAAAATGTATACTTTGGATTTCTTAATGAATTTGATAACTCTTGTGTATCAACCAGCGTGTTGGCAAACAACATTCTGATGGTGGTTATTTTTAGAGAACAACTTCAGTTTCAAGAACGTATTCTGTAAATCCATGTCTTTAAATAGCATGAAGTTTAAAGAATTCTCACAAAAGTACAGAGAATTAGGAATTTACTCTATTTGACTCTACGAATAATTGAAAATCAACGACAAATTCTCAACTGTATTCGTTTGCGGAAATTTCAGATGATGAGCAGTATCCGCATGCTATTCACTCAGGTTGATGCGATGATGGTAGTTTTGTGGCAATCGCAAAGCCTGTGTCAATACACTTAGTCGTCTAAAGGATAGAGAGATATCTGTACTTTATCCGTAAATTACGGTAATACGGTAAGTCGACTACGTCCGAAGGAGAATGTATCCTTCTTCATACGCGCTTCGATACGGTAATCATTGCCTCGGCCGGCTTTTATTTCGGAAGTTTCGTCATTCACTCCTTCAGCGCGATGCCACTGAAACAGAAAATAAAAATTGATTACTACACCAAGTCTAATTCAATGCGTGCTTACTTTATCCTGTAGAATAAGGAAAAACTCTCCCTCAAGTTGCTTGGATGCGATATTGTTTTAGAATTTTAAAGTATGCGACATGGGCCATGACTGCCTTGAAAATCCCTGACATGAGGAAACTTTTTTTTATACATTAAATCGACAAAGTAACAAGTTTCAAGAAATGAAAAATACTAAAGTGGAAAATTCACGTGAATTTTTCTTGTATAAAATAAAAATACGTATTTTTTCAGCAGCACATTAAAAGTCGGAAACTTAGCTTTCCCTACATTAAAATGATCGAGTAATGATTTTGTATCAAGTAATCACGGCCAACAAGAAAACTATCAATACGTGTTTTATTGGTTTGTTTAGATCACACCGCAGAGATACAACTATTCGTGCTTGATGGATGACCGTAATGTATCTACAAAATTGAAGGCGCGATGCCGCGAGGCGTGAACTCTTAATGCTTCGCGCTATGCTGCCAGTGATGGGTCGTTCAAATTAGGGGGAACAGTTAAAGAACGAGGTCCGATAACGTCCCTCCTATATTCGAATGGGTTGTTTACGTAGCCACTGAAGCACTACTACAAATGAGACAAACGGAAAACACACACAATATGGGAATAAAGCAAGGGAAATGATGAGCGTTGATGACGGCGCAGAGATACAACTATTCGTACTTGATGGATGTCCGTGTTGCGTCTGCAAAATTGAAGGCGCCTTGGCGCGAGGCGTGAACTCGCAATGCTATGCTGTATGCTGACAAAATGAGGCGTTGCTCTAATTCGGTGGAAAAATTAACAAGTTGGATTTTGCAATCGCTAGCGATGGCAATATTCGTCATGGGAACGTTAGCTTCTGGGATATGAAAATGTTAAGGTGCAGTTCGTTTGTAGTATCTTCTGAATTGAAGGGGCTATGTAATTTTGTGTTGACATCTCTTTTTTAACATTTTTAATTATTTTCTTTGCATACAAGAAAGCTGTTATGTACCAATTATTTATTTTCGTTGGATTATATA